GTTTTAATATTCTCTTAGATACCATAATGTCTAGTTAAAATGTAAAACGCGAGGACGCCATTATTTACCGCTGTCTGTTACCGCATCGTCGCGTGCGCTTGGAGTACCTAATGTCAGACTGTCAAAGCAAAGTCCAAGATGTCAAATTCATAGATTAAATTCAGTGATCGTTGAAATATCTGTGTTATGATAACAATGTTTCTATTCCGTTTAATTTTTATTATATTCTATTTAATATTTATCTATTTATTTGTATGAGATTTTGGCAACAGGCTAGTGCTGAAAATCAGCGCCGCGACTCGACCAATCGCGCTCGTGATACGACATTTTAGCTGAGCACTGGCCTTTTTGCACCGTGTACACCGTTGTTTTTTATTACTATTTTTTTTTCTTGTCTTTTCTGTAATGGTGCAAATAAACTGTTTTCCTTTCTTTCTTCTTTCTCTCTCTTTCTTTCTTCTAGTTCTTTGTCGGTCTTTGCTTGTAATTTATAATTTCAATGTGAGGGTTGCAAGTCGTGTAAAAAAGTAAATATATCTAGACTCCCCTACCCCCCCTATCATCTAAAGTAAGCAAATCAGAGACCCCCACCCCCCCATGGTGCTTACGTAATACTTGAACGGCCCCTTATGGTCTAGAATAACACAAACTACTTTTTATACTACAAGAACGCGGGCGATCCCGATGGCAAAGTTAATAAGGTCATAAAAACTTACTTAGCCTGAGTATTAAGGTCTGGTCGGTCCTTGGCTGACTGCACGAAGCGCGGTGGTAGACAATCATCAGCGACACAGCGGGCTATGAAGTTGGACAGTAGTACTGGCGCGTCAGGAGTATCCAGGATCAGGTCCGGTAGCTTCTCCAGGAGGCGGTCAAATGCTGGAATTGATTAAAGTATGTAATTTTTTTTTGTAAAAAATTTTGTTAATTGTAATATTTTGCTTTTTACTACATTCAGGGCAGATTTTTCTAAATACCTAATCTTAGAAACGACATGTAGTCAGGTCAGGAAGTCACATTGATACTTGCCCTAGGTAGGTTTCAAACCCTCAACTTCATGCATGATAAGCGGGCGTCTTAAACCTCCGGGCCACCACGACATAACATATTATTTATGGTTTTTGGTTAACATACATATTATTATTTCTTATACTATATGACACAGTACTCCATTAACGCCAGTGGCGCCATCTAGGTATCGCAGAAATGGTTTCTGTACTACTTAGTGTGACCGCCGACTGTGACCTATTCATGGACGAGCTACTAAATAGTCTCAGTTTTTGTGAAAGTCTTTGAAGTCTGTGTTGAAGTGTATAATTAAATGTTTTGTTTTTATTTTATTGTGATATAGGTACATTTTTGTTTGATGACAAACTATTAAAACCTTTTCATGTTTTTTAATTGCGTGCTTAATAATTATGTGCTTTTTCTTCTTTTTCTGTTATTGTATTTGTTTGTTTCTCTTTGATTTCTTTGTGTGTGTGTGTGTGTGTGTGTGTGTGTGTGTGTGTGTGTGTGTGTGTGTGTGTGTGTGTGTTAATGTAATTGGTGATAGTTATAAATAAATAAATTAGCACTCACCGATGCCGATATCCTTTGCGGAAAAGACTCTTCCATAAAGATCTGAGATCAGGAACGATGCCATTTCGCAGTGAGACGGTTTATGGTCCAATGCTATCTCCACAATTGTCTCGCAAACCTGATGAGAAAAAGATTTTTTTAATACTCTAGTGTTTTCGACTGTGCCGCGAGTATTGTCGTTTAAATGAACCCCTTACTTGTAGCTCGAGGTCACTTATAGATCGTTAAATATCACCTATCTTAGCTTAGGGGTTCCTTAAAATTTAAAAGAGGATATCTGTTTTATCCTTGTGTGATATTCCTAATCCCCAAGATTCCAATAACGCACTTGTACCGCCTCTGGTGTTCCAGGTGTCTGTGGGCGACGCCGATTGCTTACCACCAGGGTCACCGGATCACCGTCTACTTGTTTACCGGCTTATTCCATAAAGAGAGAGAAAGAAAGAGAATCTAATTAACTCGTCGAGTACCGTCATTATAGACACAATTATAGAACAATAGGTTGCGGTCACCGGTGACCGCTTGGTGTTTGACAGTTTAATCCTTAATTATAAACTTTTGAAACGTCAAATTAAATTGTCAGTCCATTTATCTGTTAGTGAAGCTAGGCGTTCGTTGCAAAGTGTAGTTCCGAATGTAGAAGAACGAGCAAGAAACTCCATGATGCTTAGGCACTGCTGTGTCGACCGGAGTGATACCACGGATCCACAGTACCACGTAAACAGTTAAAGCGTTGCATACAGCCATATGAGTGTAGACAGAGGAACCTTAATACCGGGGGGGTATGCACAATCTAACCCCGAAAAAACCGGCAACGCACTTTTTTTGGATGGACAAGCCCGCCACAGCCTCCCAAAACCGCTGCAACTCCTGTAAGTCAGGATCTACAGTAGATACAACCATGCAAACACCAGAACACTGAAGTCCGGTGCGACCTAGGGACATGAATAGCTGTCTTGGTTCCCGCAACGAAGTGAATCAGAAGATATTATAAGAGGAGAAGAAGAAAAAACTATGGTTTTCACTTCCCTCGGTGAATTACTGCAGGAGACAGAATGAATTAAGCCTAAAGGCACAAAGAAGAGACTGTACAACTGGGTGAAGCCCAGTCGCCAAGCACAACGGAAATTTGACTTTAATCTAAGTGGGTCCTATGTGTGAGCTGTTAAACTTGCTTCCAATAATAGGTACGGCAAAAGTGCCTAAACGCACGGAAATCTGTTCTAACTGGTAACGTACTTGTAACTATTCTACTGTTCCAGGTGTCCATGGGCGGCTCCGATTGCTTACCATCAGGTGATCCGTCGGCTCGCTTGTAGGCCTATACCATAAAATAAATAAATTTTACCAAAGAAAACTTACCAAATGGCTTCTGTTAGCGGTGACAAATTCCAAGAAGTCTTCTGCAGCAGCATTCGTGTCTCCATGTTCAAAGTACTCCAAGATAACCGGCTCCGATTTACGCTGAAAACAACAAAGTTATATAAATAAATAATAATAACATCACTTTATCCCCGAATGGGTGGGGAGAGGTACACATTTCTTTTTTATGGAATAGGAGGCAATCGAGCAGACGGATCACGTGTTGGTAAGCGATCAGAGCCGCCCATGGACACCAGAGGATTCATAGGTGCGTTGCCGGTCTTTTAAAAAGGAATACGCTCTTTTCTTGAAGGTTTGAAGGTCGTATCGGTTCGGAAATACCGCGGACGACAGATCATTCCACAGTTTTGCTGTGCGAGTCTGTCGGCACTTAATGCCACTACAATGTAACACCCATAACATAACATCACGCCTTTTATCCACGAAAGGTTAGGCAGAGGTGCACAATACGGCACTTAATGCCACTGTACAATATAACACCCAATTTTCACTATTTATGTTACGAGTCCCGTGTAATTAGGGGTTGAGTCTATTGCCATATACCGGACACAATTCCAGACTCCGTACTATGTACTACTGAGAATTTGAATTGAGAATAAAACAAACAATAATAACAACAACAATATGTTTTAATTAGAACAGTTTATTAACCTAACTGCTGATACCGTTATCATTATCAAAACATAATGATAAGGTGTTATCAAAATAATACTAACTTTCCCCGCAAAGCCAAAGTTATGGCAGACTAGAACACATTTTTCTTATAATAACTATCGTGAGACATACTAAATAACTAAAAATCGCGGGTTATTCAAGTGAATGCGATGCGATGTATGTAGGCTGCGCGACATCGCCGCGACCGCGCACGCTGCCCATGAGGAAGAACCCCTCTGTGGTTCGAAACTAGTAGAGCTTTTCTCAGTATATTCACGTGAGTAACCCGCGATTTTTAGTTAATTTAAAACACATTTGTCAGAACCCCTATTCTTCCCGCGGGTGTCGTATACACGACTAAGGGACTACACATTTGACAGACCCCGGGCAGTAGCGCTCTCTGATAAACCTGAACCTTTTACATTGCGATCTCCAACCTGTTTGTCAATCGTGGAGTTTTATGGCCAATCCCTATTATTAGACTTTACCAGCTGTTGCCCGCAACTTCGTCCGCGTGGAATATGATTCCTGTTTCATCCCATGGGAGCAGAGCATTTAAACGGGATAAAAAGAAATCCTATCACCAAGTCGGCCCTACCTGTATACCAAATTTTATCAAAATCCGTTCAATAGTTTCAGCGTGATTGACGGACAAACACCCAAACATTCAAACAAATAAAAAAGTCGTGTTAGTTACACTATTTATAACTCAAGAACGGGTACATCGATTTGGATGAAAATTGGTGAGGATGTAGCTTAGAACCAGGAGACGGACATAGGATACTTTTTACCCAATACTTATTTTTTACTTTTAACCGAAAATCAAGAACGGGTACGGGAAATATCAGGATTGCGCGTACGAAGTCGCGGGCAGAAGCTAGTTTATAATATTAGTGTTATTAGACCAACTAGCTTCTGCCGGCGACTCCGCCTACCTTCCCGTGTGATAAAAAGTAGCTTAAAAGTCAAAATCATTTATTTCAATTAGACCAGGAAGGCACTTTTGAACGTCAAAACAAAATATTTACATATTAAATAATAAGAAATTATTTCAGTCTGTAGGTCAGTCCTCTAGTGAAGGTATTCGCTCGTTCTAAAGTGTAGATTCCTATGGAGAAGAACGAGCAAGGAACGCCATAGGTTACTCTTTTTCAATCATGTTCACAATACAATTTTTGGTTACATTCTTTCGTTGAGTTCATTACTTATGTGTTATAGGCCATTCCAGACCATAATCTATCCCTGTTCCAAATGTCATCTCAACCCTTCAGCCGTTTTGATGTGATTCAGTAACAAAGATGCAGACAAACACAATCGCATTTATAATGTTAGTAAGTAATATAATAAGATAAAGTCGGAAAAACAAAGTTAAATTATATTTAGTGGTCGTAAGGACTGCCTCTTTGGCCGAGTGGTCGTAAGTGTGACTGCCTGGCAAGGGGTCTCGGGTTCGATTCCCGGGTCGGGCAAAGTATTACTGGGTTTTTAAATACAGTGAAACTTGGTTAAGTGGGACCTGGATAAGTGAGAAACCTCCATAACTGGAACTCATGCTGAGGTCCCAACACTTTGGCACTGAATTACCTCTGTTAGTGGGACGAAGTAAACCTCTATATCTGGGATTTGTTCTTTCGATTTATCATCATAGTTACCTCTATATCTGAGACAGCGAGTAAATTTTATACGTATGAACATCTGTAACTGAGGTAACATTGTTTGTTTACTCATTCTTATTCTAACCGTTAATGGATCCCTCTGTAAATGAGACAGATATTTATTTATACCTGTATATCTGAGACACTGGGTAAGTGGAATACCTCTATAAGTGAAACGACATTGCAGGTCCCTTGATGTCTCACTTGACCAGGTTTCACTGTATTCTCATTAGTAGCACGGAGTCTGGAATTGTGCCCGGTATATGGCAATAGACTCACCCCCTGTTACATGGGACTCATAACATAAATAGTGAAAAGTGGGTGTTACATTGTACAGTGGTATAATGTGCACAATTTGTTACCAAGTATATATTTATAACAGCTTAAAATATGCGCTGTGCGTACTGTGTGTTTATAGGGCTTGCAAGGGTCAACGACCATACGATAAGGTCGCCGGCTGTAGATCGGTTGCCAAGAGGTGACGTCATATCGTTTAGAAGGCTATGTCCTACGCTAAGTAAATAATAATAGGATTTACTTTTTTTGTTTTACAATAAATTAAAAAACATTATCATAAACGAGCTGTTGTCCGCGATTTCGTCCGCGTAGAATATGAGTCCTGTTTTATCCCATGGGAGCATTTAAACTCTCAAACACCGCGAGGACACCGGTGTCCGCACACCTATTGTTCTTTGTGTCTATAATGAGGGTACTCAAAGGGTTAATCGGGATAAAAAGTATCCTATTACCTAAGTCAGTTCATACCCTGCCTGTACACCAAATTTCATCAAAATCCATTCAGCAGTTTCAGTGTGATTGACGCACAAACATCTAAACAAAGAAACTTTCGCATTTATCAAATACTAGCGACCCGCCCCTGCTTCGCACGGGTGCAATATGCATGTGTTATACATATAAATAAACCTTCCTCTTGAATCGCTCTATCTATTAAAAGAAAACGCATCAAAATCCGTTGCGTGGTTTCAAAGATTTAAGCATACAAAGGGACATAGGGACAGAGAAAACGACTTTGTTTTATACTATGTAGTGATGATAGTGATGTAGAGATAGTGATTAGTGTGTGATGGAATTTGGAACAGCGGTAGGTTATGGTCTGGAATAACACGTAGGATACTTTTATCCGTCGGGAACATGGGCAAAGCCGCTGGCAGAAGCATTAATATAACGCTTTTATCTTCAGAACTGATACTCCGAATTGATTAATTCTTCTTGCGTAGGATAGTTCATTTATCGAGGAAGATTGCAAGCTATAAAACTTATATATAACTAGCGACCCGCCCCGGCTTCGCACGGGTGCAATATACTTTGATTTTACATATAAAACTTCCTAAAGATTCACTCTATTTATTAAAAAAAACTGCATCTAAAACTGTTTCGTAGTTTTAAAGATCTAAGCACACATAGGGACAGACAGACGTCGGATAACGACTTTGTTTTATACTATGCAGTGATGTAGTGATTAATAGGAGCCAAGCAATAGGTGATACCTTATTTTTTTATGGCATAAGCCGGTAAACGAGCAGACGGATCACCTGGAGGCTTACTCTTGAATCCAATTCCGATCGATCGACATTGGTATTGTGAAATTTCATACTCTTGAGTTGTAACACTAGCGCCCATTGCATCCGTATTGCGTGGATATTGATTGAACTAAATGGTATTGAGTTTGGCTTTATATTCCGTACTCTGAATGCTATTTTAACAACTACGATTGTGGTTGTATAGTTTTGACAATTAATAATTATTGAGATTTTATTGGATTGACATTGAGATTGGTTCCAAGAGTAAGCACACTGACGGTAAGCATTCGGCGCTGCCCATGGACATTTGAAACACCAAGGCGTTACAAGTGCGTTATCGGCCTTTTGGGAATTGGGAATTTGAGGATTGTGGAGGATTTGGGGATGGGGAGACTGGGTAATTGGGCCTCCGGTAACCTCACTCACATGACGATACACAACGCAAGCGTTGTTTCACGTCGGATTTCTGCTCGGCCGTGGTATCACTCCGGTCGTGCCGAAGCATGGCTCTCACACTTCAGCAATACGATAATACAAAATTGTTTTTAAATACCTAAGTAATCAAGAACATGTATAATAATAATTCCAAGGTTATATCTCGATTGTGACAATGTTGACATTTTTAGTACTTACCGTGTGCTACGCGAATTTATACTTTATCACCTATTGTTAAGGCTCTTTATAAAGTGTTAGTTCTTTTGTTTATTGAGATGTTGCATATTTTTATATATTTGTATTGGAAAATATGTAAGTATTCGGTTTTGGCGTGGTATCGGTGTTAATATACGTATTGTATATACACTTATACGTGTGCTAGCTACTCCTGCGCTTCACCCGCTCCGCTCTGTTATCGCTTTAGAGGTACTTACACGCTTGCGTTGTTTCGTTGTGTAAGTAAGGTTACCGGAGGCCTAATTACCCTCCTTTCCAATATTCTCGAATCGCAAACTATCCTCAAATTCCTAAACGATCTCCGGCCACCGTAAGCGCGGGCCTGCGGACGGCGTGCATGGGCGATTCGCCGCCCGAGAAAAACCAGACCCGAGCGTATGGTGCGTCACGATGCGCACGCGCCTCAAAGAACCATCAGACCACCACGGGGAATGTAAAAAGTTACCGGAGCTCCGGCTCGAAGGGTAAGAGTAGGAACGGGGTGGTTTTTAGTCAGCAAGAGTCTGACACTCTCTCCCGCCTCACCCAAAGTAATTCGATGATTTTTCCCCGCTTAAAAAAAACCCCGAAAGGCACCGGTACCGCAATTGTAACGCCTCTAGTGTTGCGGGTGTTCACGGGCGACGTCGATTGCGTATCATCACCATACCGTCTGCTCGTTATCCGGCTTATTCCAAAACAGCTTTTCAGCACGAATGGGCCGGCTCGACCGGAGTGATACCACGGCCTCACAGAAAACCGACGTGAAGCAACGCTTGCGTTGTTTCGTCGTGTGAGTGAGGTTACCGGAGGCCCAATTACCCTCCCTTCCTCAATCTCCCCAATTCCTGAATCTCCAATGATCCTCAAACTCCTAATCCCCAAAAGGCCGGTAACGCACTTGTAACGCCTCTAGTGTTGCAGGTGTCCACGGGCGTCGTCGATTGCCTACCATCACCATACCGTCTGCTGGTTATCCGGCTTATTCCATAAAAAAAGACAGTTATTTTTAATATAAATTCATAAACGATGTCCATTCTAATACTTACAACAACCTCCTCCGGTTCAGCGTCAACAATGATCTGCTTGAACTCAACGTCTCCATTGGTGATGGCTTCGGAATCATAGTTGGGGTCATTAGCGTCTTCCACGTACTCCTCGAGCAGTTCAGACCCAGGTACACCCCAGACACCTTTGCCGCCAGCACCGCCTGTGTTGAGTAGAATGGAATGTTGAGTTATAGACAATCTATACTAATATTATAAAGCAGAAGTTTGTTTTTTTGTTTGAACGCTCTAATCTCCGAAACTACGGGTCCGATTTGAAAAATTCTTTCTGTGTTGGATAGCCCATTTATCGAGGAAGGCTACAGGCTATAAAATATCACGCTACGATTAACAGGCGCCGAGCAGAGCGAGTGATACCGCGCGGAAGTAGCTAGTGTAATATATGATGAGACAAAATATGATGACGTGGGTTCTTTCTCTTTCTTAGTGATCTAATAAAACTGTCATGGCGTTAGCGTCGATAGAATTGTAATATGTTGATGTCTGTGTGAAGTAGAAAGTAAAATAAAGGTGCAAGACTATTAGATTTTACTTTTATTCAACATTCTTCAGCCTGTGCTAAAACAACATTATTTTTTCTGAGCATAGACATAATTTTAATTTTCCTATGATCGATAGACATTATTTCAACTGTTCAATACAGTCAAATAAAATATATAAAAAAATAATCACGCTTTCATTATATTTTGATTTTATGACCAACTAGCTACTTCCGCGCGGTTTCACACGCTCTGCTCAGCTCCTATTGGTCGTAGCGTGATGTTTTATAGCCTATAGCCATCCTCGATAAATGCGATATCCAACACAAAAAAAATATTCAAATGTGACCTGAAGTTACAGAGATTAGCGCGTTCAAACAAACAAACAAAAAAACAAACTCTTCTGCTTTATATAATAAGTATAATATAAAGTATAAGATTTAATTTCAGTACATTTTCATATCGCGCGGTTGCGTTAGGTCGCATAGGTCGCGGAATGCTGCTCATGAATATGAGCCTCTAGCATGGCTTGAAACCAGTCGAGTGCCTCGTCAATCAATAGGGTAGACGACTAATTTTTATTTTAATGTCCGTCTGGTAGATTATTTTAAATCATTACACACGTATTTTTTATTTTCTTACAGAAACGAATACTTTCGACGATATATTGATTTGAAATTATGCGTGACGTCACTTCTATGTACATTTTATACGTAGAAATGACGTTTTAGCCCCCACTCCTAAACTTTGATTCGTTTTATCTAAGTATTGTTTTATTATACGACAAAATAAAAAAATACGTGTCTAATATTTTTTCATTACCTAACTTACGGACTAATTAGATTTAAAAGTATATATCTTCAGGCTAGCGCACAATTGTCAGAAGCTCAACATGGTTTCCGACCGGGAAGAAGTACCACCAGTAATCTGCTCTGTCACATGGCTCATCTGGTGCCGACGGTGGATAGTGGGGGACAGACTGATGCTGCTTACTTTGACTTTCGTAAAGCATTCGATCTTGTCGATAATGATTTATTGCTTAAAAAGTTTGCAGGCGTCGGTTTTACCCCGCATTCACTCCGGTTTTTTGCTAGTTATTTGAGGGATAGGCAGCAATATGTGGAATATGCGGGACACGTGTCAGATCCATATTTCACGAGGTCCGGGGTAAGTCAAGGGAGTAATCTTGGCCCGTTGGGCTTTCTTTTTGTGGTTAACGACTTGCCGGGGGTGGTCTTAGACGCATCTTGTCTGTTGTTTGCCGACGACCTGAAATTGTCCCTTGAAATAAAGAGCGTCGATGACTGTGTTAGGCTACAGAGGGATATAGATAGGGTAGTGAAATGGAGCAAGGATAATCTATTACAATTCAATAGCTCGAAGTGTGTTACCATCTCATTTTCTCGCGCACACAATCCCATTTTACATACCTACTATATTGACGGGTTACCTATGAAACGGGTCACAGAAGTAAAGGACTTAGGAGTAACATTTAACACTGGCTTGTTTTTTCGAGAACACATCATGCGGAACTGTAAAAAAGCATATAGAAATTTAGGTTTCATGCTGCGTACAGTACGAGGGCTTACTAATGTGAAAGCTATTATAACATTATATAATGCATTGGTGAGAAGCCAGTTAGAATGTAATGCAGTCATCTGGGCTCCGCATGAAACTAAATATAGTCTCATGCTGGAGAAGGTACAAAATAAATTTATAAGATATTTGTATAAGCGCTATTACGGAGTCTATCCCTTTTACCCATTAATGTATCCCACCTTATTTATTTTAGGTATGGTTGGATACAATGAACTAAGGGTTAGAAGGGATCTTGCATTAGCTTTATATATATTTACATTGCTAAGAGGGAAAGTGCATAATGCAATTATTTTAAGCCAGGTGAGTCTGTATGTTCCGGACAGGTACGTGTGGCGACGACGACAGCCACGACTGCTGGTGGAACCGCGTTCTCGGACTAACCTTCTGAAGGACGCGCCGCTGACGCGTGCGTTCCGCACGCTCAACTTCATAGCGAGTGAGACGGACTTATTCTACTGTTCTCTGAGTGAATTCACAAGGAATGCTTTGTTTGTAATTAGTTATAAGCAATAAGTCAGGATTAAATAGTTCGCATTTATCGCATTGGGTCATCCTGTAATGGTAAATGTAAGTAAGTAAATAAATAAATAAATAAATAAATAAATAAATGTACTTAGAAATAAATACATCTTTATCTAAAACAACGTGACGTCACAATACACAATCACGTACCTACCAAATTCATACAAGACTATAGCTTTCGAAAGTCGAAAAAAGTATTAAAATTGACTATTTGGCAAGTAGGTAGTCGCAATTGGTGATTTTCTTTTGTGTAGGTAGTTGAAGGGACGGGGAAAGACATATTCTATAATAAATCAAGCTATGATCAACAAGAGCCGAGCAGCAGGTAAGCATACCCATGTAACACGAGGGTTTAGTTTTTTTTTCATTTTTTTATGTTAATAGGTTAACGTTTGGTCATCATCTCGCCTGATGGTAAGCGATGATGTGGCCGACGATGGAGCACGCCTACCTATGAGCAACCTGTTAACTCGAGACTTGAATACACCCAAGTCGTATTTTATAGGAAATACAGACTCCGGCAGGGAGTTCCACTTTTTAGCGGCTCGCACTAGGAAATTCGAAGCGGAATGATTAGTGCGAATGGGTGGAATGTGGAACCTGTTAGGACGGTACCGTCCAGTTGCGGCCCAGATGTTGGACAAGGGTCCTTTATTTTTTTTTAATTTTGATTGTAGGACGTTTGACTATCTCGCCTGGTGGTAAGCGATGATGCAGTCTACGATGGAGCATGTCGACCTATAAGCAACTAATTCACTCGGGCCTTGAAGACACCCAGGTTATACGCTTTGTGAAATATTGTCTAAGCTCAGACGCACCCTTAACGGTGTGAATACAAACCCCGCCAACGACAATAGACAACAAGAGCGCGTAGCCGCTATACCGCAAGGCACCCAGATACATTTTAAGTAATTTGAAATTAACCCGTTTCTGTAGCTATAAGGACAATTTGTTCAGTAATTAAACACTTTTCCCTATAGTTTTCGCGCATTTGAACCTCATTTCCATCCCACACCCTGACAAAGGGGGGACAATATAAGCTTTATATACAACTTCCATTTTTTGGGAAAAAAATAATGGTTCCGAAATACAAAAAAATCTAGGGATCTGAGTCTGACTATAAAAATGGACCTTCAAATAACAAAACAAAACTTAAAAAAAAAATAAAAAAACAATCAGCCGAACATAGTACCTCCTTCTTTTTTTAAAAATAGAATACTGAACTTTTTACAAAATTACTAAGTTACCGACAACAGAGGTTTTAGGTTAGGTTAGACAAAGTATAGTTTTCAGTACAATGTAATTATGCTGGTAGAAAAGTATCATAGCAATAAACTAACATTTTTATTTCTGAAAGATTTCAGTACCTATATCATTTGGTCATTTTGTCATTTTTATTCGGACAAAAGTAGTTGGAAAGTTAGTATTTTAAGGCATTAGGTTTTATATTTTGAGTAAAGACAATTCTTCAGAGCTTTTATTTTACCCCTATTTTTATGTTTCTTTTTTTTATAACATATGTATTTAATAATTGCTGTTGGTTGTTCTGTATTCTTTTTATGCATATTTCTGGCTTATTTTTGGTGGTTGGCTATTGTTTTTGGTGCATAGTGCCCGATGCCAAATAAATTATTGTTCTTTATTTCTTTACCTAACACCGACTTACAACCAATGTTTTGTTATTGTCACAACAGAAATAAGATTAAATATACCACTTTATCAAAGCAAGGCTACAGAATTATGTGTATAATATAATCTACTTATGTATATGGATAAGATAAACCAGTAATTTGTTTATTTTAAAGTTTTATTATACGGTAAACATGTAATATTTTGAAGTTTTTTGAATAAAAAATATTTATATTGGATGAATAACATAACTTCTTACCTTAATGTTTATAAAACACATATAGACGAATTAAGAACCTCCTCCTTTTTGAGAAGTCGGTTAAAATGAAAAAAAAAGCCTATGACTTCATCAAATTAGAATTGTGCACCATAATCATAGTAAAAAGGTTTTATTTCAGTACCTATAGTTGATGCATTTCTTTCCAATATCTATTAATTAAGAACAAAAAGTGATATAATTACATATTTTGTTTCTTACTGTAAAAACAAAAAATTTCAAACCTAACTTTGAAATTATTTAAAATAACACATAAAAATATCCTATTTTTTTTTATTGAAACCTTTGCTGTCATCACCATGCATGTAAGCGTGGTCCATAGACTAACCATTAAGTTGATTAAGTAGGTAATTAATAAGATTACTAGAATCTATTACTTAGTTTATCTATTACATCTTAATGTTCGATCAAAATAGGAATAAGATCCAATAAACAAAAATAAAATAACCTGAAATAAAACCACGCGGTCGATAAAACTTCGACCATTAGAGCATTTAAAAAAATATTTCATATCTACAATAAGGCACCTATAAATACACAAAAACAAAAATTCAAACGTTTATTGATTTTTCGTTAACCTTGAATTGAAAATCTCCTCGGTCAAGGTCACACTCGACGCGCAAAAACAATAGACAATAATAATTATTTCTTCGTCCGGAAACACCACGTGTCCACTAACAACATAGAATCCGGTTTAATAAAACATAAACAATAACAAAACTACAAAAATACAGCAGCCTGTACGTCTCATAGCGTCACCTAATACGATTCTAATTAAAAACCGTGGCGACTTGGCGAGATCGCGATAAAAATAGTCACCATGTTATGCATACAACATACCTACGCTACCAAACTTGTTTATATTGTGACGTTGCGTAATACCTAACGCCGGGCACTGTTCGATAACAAACCTAAAGTAATAATAATACCAACACGAAACTGCGCAAAAGTGACTACGTGACCTTCGACGGCCCGGGTGCCCTATATATAAAGATATATAACGCGGGCCCCGTCGCCGTAGTAAACATTAACATTACGTAAATTATCCCGCATGCAACTCTATTCATGGCGTATATTTTCTAGAAGTTTCAAAACAACCGGTTCGACAAGGGAATTGTTAATTAAGATGTAAGTAATAGAAGGCGTGGTGGCGCCTACCTTTCTTCGGCAAGCCTCTTCCATGCCCGTTGCGTGGTCTACGGCTGTTTTTCCAGCTCCTGTACTTAGGTAACGGCGTCACAGCCGTCGCATTCACCGGGCCCTCCTTGCTGTTAGAGCGCCAGTACTTCTTATTTTTGCGTCGCAGACGCTCCGAGTGGGAAGTCGCCGCATCTCCGGCGCCTTCGTCTACAACCGGCTTTTCGTTATCGTCCACCGCCACGTTCTCAGAATCGGAAGCGAATCGCTCGACTTCCATTACGATATGATTTAGTAATATAAATCGAGATTAAATGCCTGCAAATAACTCGAATTAGACTCTGATAGGACTCGCACAAAAATGTGGGTCACGTTTATTTTGTTTTTATGGACGATAAACAATGGATCGCACGACGCAGTCACGTATTTGTTTTGGAGAGCACACCAATGTGAAGTTAGCTGAATAACATGGCGGATGATATAGATGTTTTCTGAGATTACCAATTTAAGCACCAGGCTTTTAAGCAAATAAAATGATAATGTAAATATTATCAATAAAAATAAAATGATTGATCAAATTACTGTTTAAATAAATATTTTGTAAGGCTGAATTGTTTTTTAAAAAAAGTAGATTATATTCAAGCTAAGTTGTATAATAAAGACACAATTTGTGATACTCTCGACGGTATAAATATGGCAAAAAGGCTAATTAATGTAACTGATCTCCGTAACACATGTAGAATAATGATGGATAACAAGTACAAACAATATTATAAAATATTTACGGATGGGTCCAAAAATGGGTTGGACTTGGGGGCTGCTTTTTTTGATCCTCAACTTAACATTAAAGCTAAATTTAAAATTAATTCTCAGATTTCTATTATGTATTGTGAGCTTATAGCTATTTCTGAAGCCATGTCGTATTTGCTTAATATGCATCATAACAAAGGGCATTGATTAAAATTGGTGCCTTTCTTTTTTCTGGCGGCAGTCGATGATTTATGGAAAATATTATCTAGAATGACATTACAAACGAAATTGTCTATGGGCACATATATGGAAATCTCAGTCTGGACTGAGTTATGAGCGTTGAAATGAGCTGGAGTCAAACATTTTACTTCGATTTTTTATTTAAATTATTCATAGTTCTGTCACAATTTCTAACCTCAAATTGCGCGCCACTGTACTCCGGCACAGGAAAATCATATCACACCACAATATATTCATATTGCCAGGCACTAATTTTTATTACCTATTTTCTCTCAGTCGATAACTTGTCGGATGCTTCTAGGAGTTGTGTCATGAAGCTTCATGAGCGTCAGCAGTGGTACCAGTGGTGGGTTGAGTAGTGGTAGCCGACCACACATCTAATAAAGTATATTTTTTTTTGCCATTGACTCCTGGTGGGACACTCATCTACTTAATAGTTAACATAATCTTTTGAAGAAAGAAAACCGTCGACTTTTAAAGTGATCAGCGCTATTCAATCCGCTACCGACGCCGCAGCTGACAAACATAGCATTTCATGATAGGGCTCAGTAAAGTATTTTGCGGATTTTCGAGTGAGAGGAAATTGATCATGAAAATCTGTCATAGGCCATAAACCGTATACATAATAATATAAAGTGAATACGCTAGCCAATCAAGCGAAATATTTTTTTTTTACTTGAGCTGTGGCCAGTTAATGTTTCACTCTATTCTGGTTCCGTGGCCATGAGGCCAACCTTATACCAAAAAAAACAAAAAAAATAATAATAAAATAGTCTACAAAAAGCTTTATTACATTCCTTGAAATCGATTACAATCATTTATTACAAAATATTTCTGACAAGTAAATGAAGAAATATGCGTTGTGTACGGTCACCATCAACAAAATGACAGGTATAATACAGCACTATTTTCACATCTTTAAACTGATTTAACTCGGTTTGGACTGTGTTTTTGATATAAGACCCCATAAATTTTTTTGTTTGTAATGTTATTCTGCATCAGTTTTTCCACATCCGATCAACTGCCGCGAAAAAATGAAAAGGCACCACGCTCCATACAAATTTGGTCATTGTCATTTGTTATATTTTCGGACTCAAAAAGTAACCTTCAACACTTGGCTCGAATACCCTCGAGTCTTCGAGGGTTACCGATAGCCATGACTATTTTAGAAAGTATCCGCAAGATGCAGTCTTTGAATAGAAATATAACTATCCAATGGATACCCTCTCATATTGGAATCATGGGTAACGAGGTAGCAAACACATCAGCTCAACAAGCATCGTACGAGGGGATTATTTACAAATGCACACCGCTATACTCAGATTGGCTGGGGCATGTTAAAGAACTGTGCAGACAAAGATGGCGTGAATATTTTGATGAGAGGTCTCAGTTGAAAGGCATCTGGTATAAAACTATCCAGCCTGAACTGCCTCGATACCCATGGTTTGAAGGTAGGGAGATAGATAGGAAATATGTGGTAGCATTATTGAGAATGCGGTCAGGCCACATTCCATCCAACAAAGTTATATACTTAATGGGTAAAACTACTTGTCCAAACTGTGAAGTTTGTGGAGTAATAGAGGATATCTACCATGTTCTGATGGAGTGTGATCGGAACGTACTGGAAAGAAACTTCAAATTATCTGGATTTGAAGTAGGGACTTGTAACAGCATCCTAGCTGTCCCTCTGTCAGAGGATGCTAGGGTTTTGTGTCGACTCCTAAATGTTATTAATTATGTGTAACAGTTTAACTGTTTAAGTACATGTAAGCCTGGGTAGTTCGTAAGATACTTAGCATATTTAGATTTTAGATAAGTTAATTGTAAGTCACGGCCTCACGGGGTGACATTATGACTATGTGATTAAATCCCATAAAGTAAATAGATTAAAAAAAAACATAATTTATTTTTTTACATGAATGGTATCATTTTATTAGTTAGGCAGTTACAATTTATGAAAAGGAAAACCATATAATGTACATCTTAAAACTTGAGTACAAATACGTGCGTAAAGATAAAAAAGCATCATATTTCAATGTAGACTTTATTGTTTTTTTTTTTCAATGTCTTTGGTTTCTTAAGTACCTACATATTTTTATACGTACAAGATAATCGCAGATAAGTGATAGGAATTGATGACTACTTAAATTGATAAAATGTTGTTACATTTTATTGATAAAATGTTGTTACATTTTATCAATACCAATAATAGAAAGTGTACATGTAAGTTCTTTGTTATATTTAAGCGTGTGTACAAAAAGGTATGTATCAAATAAATAAGTATATGGTTTAATTATGTCATATCAGAACAATCAGAGACTGACATCGGTCAGTCACAATAATTAGTTTATTAGAGTAGCTAGCACGACTTTTATTAGAAACGCATAAGGTCGAACCTGTCAAATTTCCAAATTTATATTATCAGGCTTATTGACAACTACAGTATTTATGCTAAAAATGTTTGTTTAATTAGAAGGTCCAACATTGACATCAGCTTTTATCGGTGTCATCCAAATTAATTCTTACAAGGATTGTTAGTAAAAATAATACAATTTGTCCAGATAGAAATATACGCCTTTTGAAATTAAATTATTAGATGTCGTAACTTGAGATATCGCGTTGTTCCCCGAAAAATTTTATTTATTTGAAACAAAATTAGTCCTTATGAGTTAAAAAAAATGCTACTTCACCGTTGCACAAAAATGCTTATGTGAAGAAGAAACACTATTCCAGAGATGGCGAACCATTGGCACGCGTGCCATTAATGGCACGGAACACATTATTTTATTTTTATTTATTTATTTAAAATGCTTCATGCACAAAATGTACAAAAAGGTGGACTTAATGCCGCAGGCATTTTCTACCAGTCTAACATTTGAGTGATGCAGAGAAAAGTAAATGGTAGGTGCAAGAGGCAAGCAGTGATTTTATTTAACAATGAAAGATAAACTAATATATTTCGGAGATATACATACATAAATAAATTTAATTATAATGTATACCTACACATAAGTACAATATGCCTACATACATACATATATACATATTATTATTTTTATTATATTATTTTGGGCACATTTTATTTTACTTTACTTAGGATTTTATTAAAATAAAAACTTAAATAAAAATAAAACTAACTATTACTAAATTAAATATATACAACTTAGGATTAAAATTATTCAAAAGAAAAACAAAAACAACTATTTACATATAGCATCGAAAAATTCGTCCGCATCGACGTCAGTGGGGAAAGTACCCAGAAGGTTGGCAGCATTGCCACGTTGTTTGGCAATGCTTAACCTCTGACCGAGAAAAAGACCAGCCCTCTGGTCACGAGATGTGTCAACCAGGCGTTTTGAAATGTTTTTGAATAATTTAAGCGCACTCGGACCCCACGGACCTAGCGTCTCAACCCCAAACGGCTCAAAGATATAACTACCAGCAAGGTTGTTATACTTGCGCCGCTTGAGGTTTTCTGCAGAGGCAGCAGCCGAACCAGCAGAACCCGCCGTTACTGGAAGATGAGAAGGTGCAAGGGTGTCGACGCAGGTTGCGTCCCACACCAAAGACCTTCCCAGCTTCCAGGGCATGCATAATGGACATATCGTCGGGTCTCTTACCATCGTCGCGTGCCAAACCCTTTGGTTCCAGAACACCGGCGATGATTATTAGGTTTGCAACATTACTAGTTGTCAAATTTGACGTTGACAATAGCTATTGACATTGACAGGATATGACAGCCATTCTCGCTTGTCAATGCTTGCCTAACCTAAACCTATAAGCCTGACGTTGTGTACGGTTTCTTTAGTCTCGGTGATATTTTAATTTACCATGTCGCGACACAAAGAAAATATATTTTTAGAGAAATTTAATCTTTTGAACTCACAGGAACGCAATGAGGAAGTCATAAGGTGGTCATCAAGTTCCTCAAGTGATTACGACAACAGTTCATATAGTGAACAACAGTGCAATAAAAATAACAGTCTAAAAACATCGAGAAAACGAAAACGTAAGAAAAAACTGCCTAAAAACCTATCTAACTTAGACGTTACAATCATAGATGCACCTAAAAATAGTGACTATAGAGAAAAATCACCAATTTTAATGGAAAAATGTATGCAATGTCCTGTGTCCCCAATTCTAACCTCGACAAAGTTACCGCCAAAAAATTCAACGTCACCTATACTTGGTATTAAAACTGTACAGCCAAAGAGCCCTATATTAATGCAGAAAAATCAATCGCTTAGATATTCAAATAAATCTAGAAAAAAGTTAGCATATTGTGAAGATAAAATTTTGTCTATGAATGTTGGAAATCAACAAGATTATAGTCCGAAAATACCGGACAGAGATGGCTCAGGAATTTCCATTCAGCCGACAGACTTACAATCAAATGATTTTAGTATAGATAAAACAATAAATGAAGAGAGCAGGTCTTCACTTAAAAGTTTGATCCTAAATAATGTCAAGAATTATTTCAATAGTCATTTTAGCTCAGACAGTGCTTCACAGCATATAAGTGATACGCCAACTCCTGAAGAGTGTTCAAAATGTGACTCAATAGAAATATTAAGTTGTAAGACACAAACCTTAACAAATGTCCCAATAATAAAACAAGAAAATTCAAGTAACTCTGACACATCAACTTATTTTGAGAAAAATAAAAAGCTAAAATATAAGAAAGGAGGTCTAGCTTGTAGGCTGAATATGCTTTTGAAAAAACAAAATGCCCAAATATCTCTATGGCAGCATGAAAAATTTTTGGCGGGAAATTGTAACTTTGTAATGCCAAAAGAGGAACATAGAGTGTTTTGTATAAAAAACATAGAATTTAAATATGGATGCTATTGTATTAATGCTGTTGATGTCAAAAATGATTCTTATGTTATTTTTATTAATGCATTTTATGTAACTAATAATATTTGTTCAGAATCAGTTTTGAAATTGTATGACCCTTATAGAATATGTACACTTAGAAATTGTAAAATAATATTAAATGTTATAAAGTTTGAACTTGAAAAACTGACAATATAGAAAAGTGTATTTAAATAGAGACTATACTTATGTTAAAATATGATTCTATATTGAATTGAGTATCTAGTTTCCGACTAGCCAAATTCAATACTTTTTGCGAAATGTCAAAAACAATACACTTGAAACAATTTTAGATGATCTTTATATTAAGTACATCATATTTGTGTTTTGCATTATACAGGGATGTAAACGGAACGCTCCCGATAAACGCTGACAGGCAATGGTAAAAAACTAGTTTTATTTTCATAAACGTAAGGAATTAAATGTTTATTTTATGTAATAATAGTTGTAATCAAATGCTCAAGGCTGATGTATGAATTACACGAAAACAAAATCAATTATAATAATAATTGTAAAAAAGTTCTTTATGTCAGCGTTCCAGGAATGTTCCGCATACAACCTGTATAGTAGAAAAAATTATATTCATATATTTTTAAATTAATTTCAGAACATGTTATAATTTTTTTTATTGACAGTATTTTATTTATTGTTAAAACTTGGAACAGATTATTTATTTTTGACCGACAAAACTACCCAATGTTGAAAACTTGACATTGTATTCTTTGGTAGCTTGTAAGTTTAATATTCTGTATTTTTATTAATAATAAACATAACTGGACTGTTGTTGGTGTTTCTCTGGAAATTTTAACACACAATTATTTTGCTTTGACCAATATTTATTAACTCTAAAGATAATATTGATATCTTGAAGTATATGTTAAAGTTGTCTCTCATGTTTTTCGGCTTACTCAAGTACCTAACTGACGAGAAACTCAGTTGTCAAACAGTTACGTGAGTACAATGAAAAACAATAGTTTATTTAGTGTATAAAACTTTTGTGGTACACTAAAATTATAATTATGTTTTTCGGCCTACTCACGTAATTGAAGAGGAACTTTCACAACTTTCAAGCCATGCAAAAAGCTCTTATTCATTTGGGTTATTTTGTGTACTTGCCAACTAGTCAAATTCAATACTTTTTTCGAACTGTCAAAAGTGACATTTCTATGAATTTTGTACGAGATTGTTTATTGTGACTTCACGATTTCGTATATTATACCATTCTATGTTTATTATACAACATACCTACTTATTTTCTTAAAAATTCGCTGGAATAATACTAAGATTAAGTTGGTCATAAAATCAATTAATGAAAGTGTGATTATATTTTAATATAATATTTATTGTAGGTATTGAGATAACTTATTTTTCATTATGGAAAGTAGGTACCCAATTAAACTCAAACACCAAGCGGTCACCGGTGACCGCAACCTATTGTTCTATAATTGTGTCTATAATGACGGTATTCAACGAGTTAAGTTCATTTAGTACCTATGTCGTCATGAAAGTTGGAATGAATACAAAGAAATGTTAATTTTCTTTACAGAAACACCACGTTTTTATTTTATATCACTAATACCAGATAA